ATATTCAGCTTCAATCGCCAATGTTTTAGGTAGGAAGCTATGAGTCGGTTCCATTTATTTTAGGTAGGAAGCTATGAGTCGGTTCCGTTTATTTTAGGTAGGAAGCTATGTTTTTAGGTAGGAAGCTATGTCACAGTTCAGTTTAGCCTCTATTAATGATATGTGATAACTAGCAGTGGCAAGTTCCGGGTCGTCTGCATACGTGTATTTAGTTGATGTGGTGTTTATGTAGTCTGCTGTGTAGATGTTAAAAAGGGTGGGAGCTAGGACAGAGCCTTGTGGTACTCCATTCCTGAGTCTCTTGTGCTGACTTGTCTTTCCGCATGATGTACTCAGAATAAAGGACTGATTCAAGATCATGTCCATGATGAAGTTAACCAGATGCCCTGGGATCCAAATCATGTCATAGGCTGCTGTTAAGTCAACCACTCCAACTTTTTCTCAATTCTCAAAGGCTCTCTCAATGTCAGTTGTAAGAGCTGCCACATAGTCAAGGGTTGATCAGTTTAATCCGAAACCTGCTTGCTCATGTGGCAGCTGTTGGTCAACAATTGGTGTGATCTGGTTCAGGATAAGTTACTCTAGGAGTTTACAGACCACTGACAGAAGTGATATCTGTAGCTCTTTCAGTCTGTTGGGTCTTTCCCTGGCTTCTGTGTTGCAATGATGTTGGTCTTGCACCAGATTTTTGGTCTCTTGCAATTATGCATATAAAAAAAAAATAGACATGGCACATTCAGGCCGAAAGGCTTGGTCAACCATCAAGAGACCAACTGGAGAGGGCAAGCCACAGAGACTCTGCCGTGTTCAACCAAATGCCATTGCAAGTGTATTAGTCACAAACAGCAACTTTCCAGAACCAAATAGGAGTTTTGACAAGGTCATCCAGCAAAAAACCACATCCAGCCTAAAATCACCAACTGCAAATCAAAACCTGATGGCTCCTTTCACTGAAGAAGAGATGAAGACAGCAGTCTTGCATTAAAACAGGTAAAGCTGCTCGCCCTGACCACATTTTTCCTAAACACCTCACCAAATTTGGGCCTATAGTCCAAGACTGGTTATGCAGCTTTCTGTCAACTGTGACCTAATGCTACCTCCTCTCATGTTATGGAACAGAGTAGCACATTGTTTCAATTCCCAGCCTGTGTGTCTGCTCACTGCTTGCCCACATCAGACACAGCAGGCCTTGAAGAAACTTTGTCACAGACAGGCTTTTTAGAAATCAATTAACCCTTGCTGTTGCTCTGGACCATTATTCTAATGCATATCTAGTTTACCTATAATCCAGTTCCCAAAAGCAAACCTCTAAATACCAGTTTCTAGCCATCAGTATCTTGCTTCGACAGCAGTAAGCCATTCTCAAGTTCTTACCCTTTAACCTGCCAACCTCTTTATGTAGTGTGTGTGTGTGTGTGTGTGTGTGCGCGTGTGTGTATGTACTCATGTGTGTGTGTGTGTGTGTGTGTGTGTGCGCGCACATGAAGGAGAGAGAGAGATGTGGGAGTAAGGGGTTGTATAACCTATTGCATTAAAACAGGGATGTCAAATTCACCCTGGTCCTCCCATCGCTCAGGCTGGACATAGACCACAGGGCTCCTTGCAAGCTGGATCCAGACCCAGTCATGGTCAGGTCAAGTGGTGGGGCAACTTGTAGTAGCAGGGCATGCATCAGTGAGGCAAGCAATAATGGGAAAGTGGCAAGGAGTGACAGCATAAGCAGTACTGTATTGACAGCTGTCTCTTGCCCCCCACTCCCCCCTGCTCCCCCCCTCCCC